TAGACCAGGGCTGTCCAAACTTGGTCCTGGAGGGCCGGGGTCCTGCAGAGTTTAGCTCCAACCCTAATCAAACACACCTGAAGCAGCTAATCAAGGTCTTACTAGGCATACTAGAAACTTTCAGGCAGGTGTGTTGAGGCAAGTTGGAGCTAAACTCTGCAGGACACCGGCCCTCCAGGACCGAGTTTGGGCACCCCTGGTATAGAGTTTTATTGTCCTTTTGTTTTTTTTTGTTTTTTTTAGCGCAGGCTAAAGCACCAACCGATTCCGGTCCAGCCTGCCGGCCGCCATGGGTGGCGGATCCCAGTTTTGCAGACCGTTACCACCCAGACAAGACCAGCACAGTGGTGACGCAGCACAAGAAGCCAGTCCAACCCACTCCCATGCAGAACCGCAGCTCCATCATGCAGGCGGCGCAGCAGAACCCTGGCGACTCCAGCGGCTGCACCCCGCTCTGCGCCGCATGCAACAAGATCATTAGGTACGGCTGGAACTCTACCGCCTCTGGAGTCAAACTTCAGGACTGACTGAAAATTTGCAGTTACAGGAATAGTTCACCCAGAAATGAACATTTGCTGACAATTTGCTCACTCTCAGTCCATATAAGATATAGATAAGTTTGTTTCTTAACATTACATAATTTACTCACCAATGGATCCTCTGCAGTGTGCAATGGGTGCCGTCAGAATGAGAGTCCAAACAGCTGATGAAAACATCGCAATAAAAGTAATCCACACAACCCCAGTCCATCAATTAACATCTTGTGAAGTAAAAAAGCTGCGTATTTTTAAGAAACATATCCATTCATACTTTTTAAACTCCAAACCGTTGCTTCCGGCTAAAATACGAGTCTTCTGTCCATCATATTGCTTTCTCCAGTAAAAACTAATTTCGTCTGAATAAGGAGAGAAATATGTACAGATCGAAACTGTTTCAAAACAGTTCTAAACAAATATGACGGTGGATTTTGATGTGAGAGGAAGGGGATGGCCTCACTTGTATTTTAGCCGGAAGCAACAGTTTGAAATTAAAAATGAAGTTAAAAATATTTAAATGATTTGTTTATAACAAACACGCAGCTTTTCACTTTAAAAGACATAATTGATGGACTGGAGTCGTGTGGGTTACTTGTGGATTATTGTGAAGTTTTTATCAGCTGTTTGGACTCTCATTCTGACGGCACCCATTCACTGCACAGGATCCATTGATGAGCATGTGACGTAATACTAAATTTCTCCAAATCTGTTCCGATGAGGAAACAAACTCATCTAGATCACCCTGTGGGTGAGTACATTTTTAGCACATAGTTTCAGTCATTTTTGGGTGAACTATTCCTTTGAAATCCCAAAGCTAACCACTGCAGACAGCCCAAAATACCTCCAAATCAATGATGACTATGCGCTAAATGTCATTACTTACAAAACTCAGAGAAAACATGGGGAGGGAAAAAATGTTGTGTCAAACTTTGTCAGGCAGCAATATTTCTTAAAAAATACACAGAGCACAGAAATAGCACCATGTCCTTGGGCTTTCTGCCGTGGAGAATCAATACGGAATGGAGTGGGCTTCTGCGTCTGACCTACTATTTCCATTAGAATGGCTTTTGCACACTGAACACTTAAGAGTGCTAAACCCAGCTGCTGATGCCCGAGCTGACCCTTTCACTTCAATGCAAAAGCTTTTGTTGTAAGACTGTGTTTGTGTGTCCGTGTTCTAGGGGACGCTACGTGGTGGCGCTTGGTCGTTCCTGGCACCCAGAGGAGTTCACGTGCTGTCAGTGCAAAAGGGTGTTGGACGAGGGGGGCTTCTTTGAGGAAAAAGGATCCATTTACTGCACCAAGTGCTACGACAACCGTTACTCACCCAACTGTGCCAAATGCAAGAAGAAGATAACTGGGGTAACTACATTTCCTACTGTTCTGCAACATAAACACACAATGCAGTTTTTTTTAATTGTCCTGTTCTACAGTGGTATCTGCACTGAACGATTCAAACTGAGTGGTGGACTAGTTTGTTAAATCATTAATGATACTAGTATAATTTTATTAATACACTATAATTCCAAAGTTTGGGGTCAGTAGAATTTATTAATGTTTTTTTTTTAAGAATTTTTTTTTTTTTAAATATATATTATAAAATTGTAATAATAAAATGTTATAATACTATAAAATGTTACTGTTTAATCAAAAAATGCAGCATACGGGCCATATGTTAAATTCATATATTGTTCTAAATCTTCATATTCACTAATTTGTTAGTATTATTTGATATTTATTAATGTCTTGACAGAAATGACTATTAAGCATTACCAGGATTTAATCAATATAATGCATTAAATACAACACAAAAAGTGAGAAACAAAATACACGGTAAGGTAATGTTATAATACGACAGTATAATAGTATGACAGTATGTCAAAATGACCTCAAAAACAAACAAAAGCTGTTGATTCTGATTGTATGAAGCTGGTAAGGAAGAGTAGTTCCAGTAGGTTAAAGTGTGTTTGTGTGTGTGTGAGTGAGAGTTTAAAAGTGAGAGTGGAGTGATTTTCAGTGTGAGAATTTATAGATGGCATGCACAGCTCCCTCACACCCCTCTGTCCTCTCTGCAGGAAATCATGCACGCCCTGAAGATGACCTACCACGTACAATGCTTCCTGTGTGCTGCCTGCAAAATGCCCATCAGGAACCAGGCCTTCTACATGGAGGAGGGAGAGCCCTACTGCGAGAGAGGTGAGTGACCGCGCACGCCCGGCTGCACATCTTATCGACAGCCCCTGCCGAGAGCCGAGCGCGGGCTCCTGCGGTGTTTAATCATTCAAATGCTGCCACTTCACTTCAGACATCAAACCTGCTCCATACCAGCAGTGCACATTGATTAGGAGCTTTGCTGAGAACTTTTATGCTTGAGAATCTACTTTAAATACGCCATTAGTAGAAAGTGCTTTGGTGCTCAATGAAATCATTAATACTGTTTTTTTTTCAAACGGATTCAAACTCATGTTGACTATATGAGCACCCCAGCTTGAAGTCCTATTTAAAAACCTATTTGACACTTATATGAATGATAAGAGAGACAATGATTTAATGATAATAAGGCACCGGTAACATTGCAAGCCTGCTTTGAACGTGCACTTTATTTTTATTTTATTTTTATTTTATTTTATTTTGTTTTTTTGTTTTTATTTATAGGACTAGTGAGAACTATGAAAGGAAATTTTGAGGTAGGAGGAGTGGGAAACATTGGATTCAAACCTGTTTTGCTATCAATTTATTGTTATTGTTTTGCCAATGTTTTGTCTTATTTTAATTTACAATTTTATATAATTTTTATGTATGTATTTATTTATTGCCACTTTCAGTTACAGGACTAGTGAAAAGTATTTTATGTTTTATTTTATTTATATATATATATATATATATATATATTAATTTACAATTTTATATAATTTTTATGTATGTATTTATTTATTGCCACTTTCAGTTACAGGACTAGTGAAAAGTATTTTATGTTTTATTTTATTTATATATATATATATATATATATATATATATATATACACATGCATACATACATACATACACATACATACATACATACATACATATATATATATTTTATTTTTATTTATTTATTTTTTTACACTTTATTTATGGGACTAGTGAGAATTATGACAGGACATTATTGGGAAGAGGAATGGGAAACATTAGATTCAAACCTGTTTTGCCAGTGTATATTTTATTTTTTTATTTTTGCCACTTTCATTTAAAGGACTAGTGAGAGTTAGAAAATTAAATTATTGGGAAGAGGAATGGGAAACATTAGATTCAAACCAGTTTTGCAAACATGAGCTCCACAGCTCTAAGTATCAGAGTTTGTGTGCTATCCATGAGGCCAGGCCTCTGACAGCTTTTATTTTATTTTGAATCTTTTTGATGCTTTTATAGGAACAATTAGTCGGATAGGAAACCGGTGGGAGAAGGGGCTCGGAAACATTACGGATCGGATTCGAGCCTACAGCCCCGCATGAGAACCATGGCATAAATCAATTTGAATTCAGTAGTGCAATTTGCCATGTTAAGCTGTGCTTGTTCATTCATTTAGTTTCCTGAACGGTAGAAAGTTGCTAAATTCAGCCACCTTCCATGTTTAATTTATATTTATGTAGTTCAGTTAATCACATTGTCACATTTGTTGGGCTCCTAATCTTACATAAACAGACATTAAGCTATCTGAAGGGAGTGCATGTCTTTATGTAAATAGACTTGCATTACAGTTCTGGTGCTTTACAGCTTTGAAGAGTTTTGGTCTTGTGTCAGCAGCAAGTGGACAGCTGTTTCTGTTAGAAATAAAGAGCTCGTGTTGATAAAATAGCTGCAGTCTCAGCACCTTAAAAGGATTGTGCTCTAAACTACTTACCTTGCGTACGGGACGTAAAGCCGGCCACTTTTAAGTTTTCCGTAATGGGTAAAACTGGGGCAATCCATGTAGGAATCTGGACCAGTGTCCGTTATCACACACCGAGCATGTGAGGGCTGAGAAAATGTAATCCCCTTTATTTTTCCTTTCAGTAACACATTTCTTTCTATCTTGTCTCGTTCTCTTCGTTTTCTGACCAAGAATTTCCCCCTCGCGCTCTTAATAGGCCCTTTTTGGTTGGTTTGTTTTTCTCTGCAGACTATGAAAAGATGTTTGGTACCAAATGCCATGGCTGTGACTTCAAGATTGATGCAGGAGACCGTTTCCTTGAGGCGCTGGGCTACAGCTGGCATGACACTTGCTTTGTCTGTGCCGTAAGTCATTTTGATGCATTGGGACCTGTCCCGAAACTCCATCTTAAACTTTCTGCACCACACAACACTATCAAGAAATAGTCCCCTAGCCCCTGAGAACCTAGACATTTCCCTTCAAAAGTCATACATTGGCCATGTTTGCATGCACTTTATTAATGAACTTTTCAGAATATTCTTCTTTCTTGTTCAAATTCCAGATAAACTAAGACATCCGTTTTTATTTTCTGTTATGGAAATGCTGGATATGCTCTTGCCATTTATTAAATTTTTTTAGGAATTTAAGTGGTTCATTAATTTTAATTCATGCCCTTCATAGCGGCACACAAGAACCCAATAAATAGCAAAAGTTTGTGGTGCTTTCACTCGTCTGTCTACTGATTTAAGATCACCTCTTTAATCTTAATAAATAAAAAGCTTGGCAGTCTGGGACAGATAGCAATTAATTTAATTTTGACATGCATTGAAATTAACAGTGGATATACCCTATAAAACACGTTCACATGACAGATTAATACAGGAATTCACTGCCATTCAAAGGTTTGATTTGGTACAATTTTTTTTAATGTTTTTGAAAGTCTCTAATGCTGACTTAGGCTTCATGTATTTGATCAAAAATACAGTAAAAACAGTAATATTGTTACAGTTTAAAATAACTTTTCTATTTTAATTTATTTTAAAATGTAATTTATGAGTTGAGCTATGTTTTTCAGCAGCCATTAGTCTATACACTATTTTTGTGTAAACCGTGATATCTTTTTTAGGATTGTTTAATAAATAGAAATTTCAAAAGAACAGCATTTATTCAAAATGGAAATAACACTTATATTATATAAATA